CGCGTCGAGGGGTCATCGGGAAACATAACCTCTGAATGCTCGACGTTCGACTATACTCTAGCCAAGGAGTTTTCGCCGTTCGCTTCGTTTCCGCGACTATACTTCCGCGTGCGGCTCGATCCTTACCTTATGTTCCCTGTCCGAGGATTGTGGACGGTTCACGGCCAACACTTATCCAATCGTTTCGCGTTGGAACGCAGCGTCCGAGACACGACGACACTCTTGACAGTTTTCCACGATGATGTACGTCGGCGATAGTTTTTTCATTGGCACACCGAAGCTAGCCAGATTGGCCGATAGATCACAACACTATCGACACTCAATACGCGACACTTGGGCAGACTCGTGATCGGGCGTCTTCGGACGAAGTAACAGGCACCCGAAAGAGCATGGCACACCTTCGCGTCACGTTACAACGAGTTACAACAAGCCACGAGCAGCTACAGGCACGGGCTACCTCGGACTTTCTGTCTCCGTCTCCGTCTCCGTCTCCGCTGTTGACTGGTGGCTACCTCACACCACAACCTCGTCTCGTACCTGTGTCTCTCTTTCTCTCTTTTTCTCTTTCTACGCTCGTGCACGGAGCCACTGCCGATAGTACAGTGCATCGCCACCAGATGGTCTGTTCTGTCGCGGCTCCACCGTCTATATACATTGCCACTCAAAAGTTTCGCGCACCCTTCGCTCTTTAAAAAGCCTCCTTTCTAGAGAACGTACAGAATTTTCATGTTGCGCCGGTACTCGTGAACACCAGTGTTCGGGGGATCGAATTTTCTTTTATTAATAAGCACGCTGAAAATTATTTTTAAAGGTTCCAAAGGGCTCGAGTGATCATAGAGGAAGAAGCTAAATAATGTAGGCATGAGACATTTCGTATCATGTGATCGTTAGTCCTCTCGTAAATCCTGCATACTATGAATGAATTCTAATTTTTGAACAGGTTCAAAAGACTTCCGGCCTGAAGAATATTTACGACATTTCAGTAATGGTTAAACGGTTATTCAAATACACCAGTGCTTTGAACCTTACATTTTTTTAACGGATAAAATAAAAGAGTCTGACAATAAGTTTTATTTACATTTTAAACCGACGACTGGGTCTAAGGGAAATGGTAATAACAGGCAGGAAATTACGATTATATTAAATTTTATATTAGTACGCTTTATGAATCGTACACGTTATAAATCTTTTCTGAACAGACACAAAAGATATTTTTTTCCAGAAAATATTTAGAATATCGGTAAAGTTCCTGCTGAATGTGTTAAAATTGTTGCCAAGAATATCACTGTTCATGAATTTGAAATTCCTAACAGAAAAAATATAAATGAGTAGGCAATATTTCTACTATTTGAAATTGTCATTGATAGGAAAAATGGCAAATTAAAGATACGCAACGCTAATTTACATAACTTTAACTATTACTTTCTCTGATAAATCATAGATATGGTAAATAGCCCGATACTTTTTCGTGACGCTGTACTTTCTTCTCAGCATGTGACGCATTTAACAAAAATTTAATTTTTGTAAAAAGATTAAGATTGATTTAAGCTACTGAGCAACAGTTTATCCGATACTAAAAAATTGAACGAAATTGATTTGAAATTAAGCGTTACATCACTATAAAATAAGTGAATATTTCATTGTTCCTGGATCAAATGTTATGTAAACATGTTATTTTACGCGCTGAAACATTATTCGCTTTTAAAATGTATTCGTAGTAGGAAAAGATTATTCAAAGACGTGGGAGGATGATATTTTAAATTATAGATAATTAAGTGTACTGATACCGAATTCTATGGTAATTCGTTTTCGCACGGACAAGCAGATAGTAATGAGCTTTTCCGTGGAATAGACAGGGAAACTACGGTAAAACAATCGTGTTACAACGTTTTGCTGATAATGGCATAAGTCGGGTACACGTAAATCATCATGGTTCAATGCTCGAGACTGACCGGGGTCGCTAAAGCATTTTACTTTAGCTCCGCTTGACAGCGATTGGCATCTATAATTCTCGGCAATGTAGCAAAAAAGTCGCGGAATGCGTTTGATTCGAACCTGTTTGAACGCGTTTCAGGAAACGTGAGTTAGTCCTTTCCACCGTGACGATCATATCGATTAGATTGTTCTTGCTGAGTGATTCAAACCATTGCGATTGTATTTTTTTCAAACGGATGCCGTGGGAAATCGACGAAAAAATCGTCGACATTAACATTCCATTATGCTCGAAGTATCGTCGAATTTTTAAGTCAGGGAATCGCTGAAAGTTGCGAGTCGCATAAAAAGCAAGAGTACAGACATCGCACATGGTTCCGGTGCGTTACGCAAGGTTCAAACGAACAGGGGTATCATTTTCGCATTTCGACTTTCTCGTTTTGCGACGATTAACGAGTACTTCCGTTTGGAGTGTTCATCCTTTATTTCCAGTAAGTACACAAACGTAGAAACCGAACAATTTGTAATCAACGAGGGTAACTCTGCGAGCAGTCGAACGACGCTTTTAACAGCAAGAATATGGTAAATTCATTGGCGTACATTTTATTAATTATCCTTGTATGTACATGTGGACATATTGTGTATATGCACGTAAGGCGGTTATGCGAGTAATGTAAATAGACGAAACCACTACAGTCGGAATCCTTTTAAAAATAACATGCGCGACACCAGCGGGGCTGGACGAAATTTCGAAAAACTGAATTGATTTCCTCTTTTTCGTCGCTTGCCGTTGAACGTTCGAGTCGCCTCAACAATACATCCAAAAATTTCATAAATCTCATCAATTTCATTAATCTCGCCGTACCAATGTTCCGGCTTCCCAAACATTGTTAATCTTTATATTAACGTCGTCGACGGGTATTAACCCGACAGTCTTTCCACATTAGCGACAAGGGCACTTCTTGCGCGTACGGTGTTACACCTATAGCAGAACGCGTCGCAACGGCAGTAAATCTAACTACAATAAACGCATAGTATCGCCGCGCGCGGCCGATGTACCGTGCGCGGTTGGCCGCCGCCGTCCCGTCTCTTTCGTCGATCCTACCGAGGCACAAGCATCAGGTACCTGCAAATCTGTCGCAATATACGTTGAACCGCTTTCAAATGTGTTTGAAACGTTCGCGACTTGGTCTATTTTCTTAACGGGGAATGCGGTGGCATCAGGTTCGTCGGCGTCGGGGTCGGACTGCTGCTGCAAGATCGGCTTAATGCCCTGTGGGGCTCCACGGTCAGGAACGTTCTATCGGTGGTTGGGGGTGCAGAAGTGATCTCTGGTTCTATAGGGCTGGGACATCGTCTTTGGTTGCAGGTCGACAGGGTGCTTCTGGATAACGTTTGCAATGGTATCTGATAGATCCTTATCGGCTTCCAATCGTTTTGGCTGTCTGTGAAAAAAAAGTAACGATCAGCATTTTTCGCGGAGCTTACTTTCTGATAGGGTAGCGCTGGCTAAGATGACCCGATTTTATCTAGATTATCGAATATATACAGCAGGACTCCTTATAACACGATTAAAAAATCGTTGAAAAATAACTCTGAAAGTGATATTTTCTATAAGAAACTGATACAAGCAGAGAACCAACTTAATACAACTTGGACCGGTATCCAAAAGGAGAATTTCATGCAAAATTTGTAAACGTGAAACGCTCTAACACGGAATAATTAAATCGCGTTATAGGGGATTCTACTGTATACAATAGTATAACGCGAGTTCTCACAATGCGAACTCTTACAACGCGTTGAAGATTTTGCGACTACTATTTTCATATAACGAGATTCCTCACACAACGCGATATGTAATAAAATGAAGGAATTTCTCGCATTTAAAAATGAAGTGAGGTTTAATTGAACATTGCATTATTTTCTTCACTGTTCTTACATGTATTTATTTTTATAAATATATTGCTTTTTTGTTAGGTACCAATGATATTTATGATGTAATAGTTCTTTTAAAAAAAGTGGGCCATTTCTACCCAACTTACGCTATGAGTGAATTTTTATCATGAAGTTCTATCAGTATTTCGTTTAGTAAAAGTCAGTTGATTAGTTTCTTCTTTCGTGTTGTCCTGTTTGTTGGAACGTTACGTATTTACGAAGTGTGTCCTTTTTAAACTAGTAATGTAATATCACGCGATTAATTCTTATGTATGTTTTGATTATCGAATGAATGTATCACACAATTGATTTCAAATAGGCATCATTCTTGACAGTCATATAGATAAAAAATTGAAATGAACATTCAAAGGTGTCAAGAGGTAAAAGTTTATGAGTCTTGAATAGGACAAAAAATGACCAATGTAGAAAAACATGGTATCATTGTTAATAAAGCGGAAATGAGAGGTTCTTTTGCTTGATCATGCTAGATCTTGCGTCGAGCAAATGACTTAGCGGAAACAATTTAAACGGATACTTGGAGATTTGTTTCGACTGTCACGGTTAAGTGCTTGAAATTTTCTGCTGCTTTAAAACTTAAATAATTCTTCGAAAATCAGTAGTTTCTAAAAAATGCAACACATAAAACCATATAACATTAATATTTACATTTAAATCGCTAAATTCTCGTTGAGAATCATATGAAACAAGTGAGCGATAAATGTTTTCATACAATTGGTCAAAGTTTATGGTTCAGCATGTCTCTTCCAAATTTCTTATTCGAAACAGCAGTTTTTGCGCGCCAATCCAACAAAGAACGATCGACGTCGGCCGCCGGTCGAAAAAAGGTGTGACTGCGTTTACGAAACCCGCGGATGCTTATGAAACGAGCTGATAGCTTTGAAGAATTCCGTTGCGTTTCATCCTGAACGTTGCGTGAATTGCGAAACCGTGCGAGTTACAGAAATAGAAGGAAAATTATGATTTCTCTCGGACGAGCGTACATACTTTGCGAGTTAGATCGGGAGGACGAAGACTGTGCGAAAGGAGGCGGACTAGAAACCGGTTCTTCTTTGTCCGAAGGCTTCGCGTCCAGCCGAATTCTTTCGCACTTCCCCGGCAGAAACTCCGGGGCCGTCGTCGCGAAGAAGATGTCCTGCTTCGATGTGATCAAATTCAAGTTGGGCATCGCCATTGTGTGCACCAGATTTCCGTTGATGATCAGCCGAATTTCCATGGTGTCTTTGGTGAACGCGATCACGTAGGGAAAGGCACAAGCTGCAAATAGTTCTTCGTTGAAAAGTGTTTTCGAAGATGAACCCTTGGCACTTGGAAGTCCCTTCTGATGGGACATTCTGAACGCAATTTTTAGCTACTATTTGCCACTATAGTGGCTTTTATATATGTCATCTTTTTGAACGGTACGCCACTATAGCGACTCAATTCTTTCTTTACCATCGAAAGCTGTGTACATTATGGCCTAATCAAACGTAATTGCACAGTGGAAACTTTTATTAGTCTCAAATCGCAGTGTTACATTTGTGATACGTAGACCGCGTTAAACCTTGCTGTACAAAGATTTTTGATGCTAGTCCCGCCGTAACTAAAAGATTAAATTCTGCGAGTGCAAAGAGTTAATCCCTTGCGCTACTCTGACAGGTCTCTGTGATGATCACAATTTCAGACCAAACAATTTCAGACATGAATGTCACTACTGAGACTCGAGTGCATAACACTAGAGAGATGTCAGTCAGTATAATCATAGCCCGGATGTTACTCGGCTAAATGATAGTGTAAGGGGTTAGAAAATACCGTAAGAAAATCAAATGGTTGCTTTACCTATAGCTGCTGGCACGGAATTCCAGCTGAAATCGAACTCGGATTGTGCAGTGTTCTCCTCCACGAGTTTCTGGAAATGGCATGTGTCTGAAAATACGAAACTCTTATTAAAAACCATACTATAAGTGGAAGTTTTTGTGCTGCGTTTACGTACTATTGTAACAGAGTAACAATTCTGGCTCCTCGTCCTCGCAGAGATCCAAAGCCGCGACTAGATGCGGCTTCGACGCACCGTCAATGTGAAGAATCCTCGTACTTCCATTCGCGGAGATCAGTTCGAAGTGGTGTCGAATACCACAGCAGAGCGTCCACTCGTTGGTCGAGTCTGTGTTCTCGATCATCGTCACCAGGGACGGTGTTTCGCTTGCGTTGAACTCTTTCAGCACCATGAAACCATCCACGGTGTCTGTGTCCGCTGTGGAGCACCACGCAGTCCACGCTGCACTGTGCTTCCATTGAAGCACCGTGAGACGTTTGCCAACCGCTACACACTGAAATGATCGGATTAGGGTGTGGTTATTTTGGATGCATATGCGAATGAAACAATCAAATTTTAGAAAGTGTGTGACGGGTTGTGCGAATGTAGAGGTAGGGTAGACCGAGGCGATTCGGATCAGAGGATTAATAGGATCGAAATAAGAATCTAGTCCACATTTTTTACATCGCAGATTATACAAAAGGAAGATCTAAACATTTTTTTCACATTTTATTAATAATATTTCAGTACTTTCGTTCCTCTATTGTCAAAGGGGAAACGATCAAATTTGATCGAGATGTCTGTGTTTCTTATGATTGCTGAAATGTGACTCAAAACTTCCTGTTCAGTTATTCAATGGAAAAATGGAAGAAAAAAGGCTTGCGACGAGTAGGAAGAATACCATGCGCAGATGAGAACCACCGGGCATGGTGGTGGTGTACAAATGGCAGCCTCTCGTCCTTGGTAGCCTTCTATCTTTTATATGAGCTCGTCCTCTGACCGCCAAAGGTCGCACCCGAACGCGTCCACGAGTACGGATCACGGGTTTGAATTTCGCGGTGGCTCGCGCGAAGTTTTCTAAGTCATTATCTTCGCTTTCATCGGCGTCGTCGTCAATGTCATCTTCGTCACCGTTGTCCTCGCAGTCGTGTTCGTCCTCGCGTTCGTTCAACACCTCTGTCGATCTGCTGGCAGTGGCGCTGTCGAACTCTCTCAGACGAAACACGTAAACGTTGCTCTCTTTCCCTTTGTCCCCGGTGCGGAATAACAGTATACCGTGCTGTTCCACTACGTCCAGCTGTTTAATTTGCACGGATTCGTCGAAGATCATTCTGTGGGACAGGCAGTCTGAAATATCGAATTGATGGTTATCTTCCATTCGCCTATACCGCCAATGCCGATGAGTAATACGCTGTGTTATAACTAATTAAACGGTTACTTATAAGTAAATCGAAGATATACGCTTCCTGCAAGCAGGATTGTAATACTTGTTTCGGCTGAATAAAGCGTGGAGTTATGTAAAGATCACATGTCTTCCTTCTTTCTCTATTTCCTTATTTTACCGGGAAGTAGAAAAACAACCCTCCACGTAGCTGTTTGACTCTATCAGCCTAACAGTCTGTTTTTGTCAGATTTCTATGACACACTTTATTTAGTATCAATTCTTGTATGCTTTAATGCAAAATGAAACGTAATAGTAAATCTAATAAGGGAATCAGCTAATTGGTCTCTCTATAGCAGTGTCTTCCAATGTGGCGCCGTCGCCTCACAGGGAGGCAATTTGATTTTTAAGGGGGGCAATTTGAAATTTGAAATATCACTTCATATATTTCACAATATTTACGCACGTAAATAAAACAGTTTAAAATAGCTTTATATATATACTAAAATAGCTATTCTAAAATCATCCCGGATATGTAACATTTTCAAAATATTGATAATTGTGAAATAAGAAAATTGAAACCCGCCAGTTCGACAGGTGCGATGGTTCTAATGTTAAGATTTTTGTCATATGAGAAGAATAATTATTAACATAATCTCCGTGATTTTATTCATATATGCTGAGTTTATTAATCGTTTGATTAGCTATAATAAATTTAAAAAAAAATAATAGCAAAGAAAAATATCATTACTCGAAAGGTATAATTATTTTTATTATAAAATAAGTCCACTTTCTCTACAGCGTGGCGAGTGTTTATGTTACGAATCTTACGTTACAGTCTGTATGGAAAGATGAGGATTCCTTTTTTTTCGAACGTCGATTAAATGAAGCATAGAAATAGGCATGCTGCGTTAGTTTCAATCGTACCGTCAAGCAGTGCAGGTATTTCGAAATAGCTTGTGCCGCATTAAATGCAATATTTAAGTCACTGTTTACATCTCATCTCAATCAGCTTATTACAGACAGGATGCTGCAGTATTTAAATCAAGTTAATCACCTATCTCAACTGGCAGGAGACAAAAACCCAAGTATAAAAGGGGTACAATTAGAACGAATAGAAATTGTGTAATTGAAATTTTTTCAAAAGCTAAGCGATGAAAACTTCTCTGTGTGTATGTGCGCGGACATAAGAAGCAGTCACTTAGGTATTATACAGATCATAGCATTGAAAATGGGGATTGTAAATTTCAATTGTAATGGTATAACGTTCTATTGGTTATTAAATTAGATTGAAATGAATGCAAACAATAGCATTTTATTTCAAATGAAATTACATTTTCTGTACCGAAACACTTCAAAGAATCTTATGTGAGCTAATGGACAATTGTAAAATACGATTTCAAGCTATTATTGCACACATACATGGATTCCAACAGGTAAACGATTTGCTGTTCATCTGTTTCGGTTTGAAAGTTACCAAAGAGTTTCTAATATTATATATATTTAATTGTATATAATTAATTTCAAAATTAAGAATATGTATATATTAGTATATATTAGTAATCGAATATATATATATCGATCACGTTTTCATATATGAATTAATTTTTCACATTTTTTCGGATAAATGGCAGTAATATATTTTTTCTTTGGACGGTGCTTTTGAATGATATGTATGAATTTTTCATTTTTAAAGAACACTGATAGATGTTAGAATCATTGACACCCGACACATAAAGTTCGATCCACACTATCAGTCATATTTCAAGCTGTTCTCCGTCCGCTCTCGGTTCGATCAAATTATTTATAATGTATGTGTTCGCACTAAGAATCTCGGTCCTATCTCGGTTCATCTTCGTTCATCGAAAACAATAAACAATGCATGAATATTGAATGGAGCGCAAGCGGACCGATAGTGTGAATTGACCCTACTCATTACTATCCTATGAGAAACATTTTGCAATATTCTTCCACGTAACAATACAGTGGTATAAATATCTTACACTTTTTCCTTAATGATTAAGTATAAGAAGAAGAAAGATATAGAAAAAAAGATTGAGGACCTTTTACGGTGAGTTTGTATTTTAGGGTTGCAAGTAAAATTATTTATGCTTACATTTTTGGAATGCTAACTTAAGCAGAAAAAGCAGGAGGAAGCTATCTGCTTCTAGAAATTGACTCAAGCACAGCCTGACAAAGGCAGATAATCGATATAGTGAGCAGAACGGGATAGAAACATTCCGCCGAAAATCCAGGGTCGGGATACAGTACTTCAAAACAATACCGCATGCGTCAAATGTAAACATGCAATGAAGAAAATTTCAATTGCAGTAATTTTAACCTTACCTTCAAATATAGCATCAATAGGTTGTTGACATTTTTCTGATTAAAATGAGTTCCAACACGGCGTAAATCAGACTGGTTTCATCGACTTAATCTAATTAACAAAATTAAAAATTCATTTCCTCCAAATCCATAAAACCGATTTACGTCATGTTTGAATTCATTTTAATCAGAAGAATCTCAATAAACCAGTGGTACGACATTTGAAAAGGTAAGACTGATATTACTGAAACTGAAATTTTCATCACTGCACGATTACTGTTTATGTTTGCGTCCCTTTATTGAAGTGTGTCTGTTTCCCTTCCGTTCATTGTATTCATTTTCTGTTTCTGTCTATTGGGGTCACGTTACACTGAGATCGAGACATAAGAGACAGAGAAGAGTAGGAATGGTGCAGTGAAATTAAACCGAGCAGATTCCTGTGGAATTTAAGCGAGCATCACTGTATATTGTAGGAGAAGGGGTGGCAGTAAGGATAACGAAAAAAATGCAGGCATTACCTTCTATCAAAAAGGTACCATTCTCCGTAGCGAGAACCACTTTACTGTCCAGCCAAACGTCTCCGCATATGACCTCGTGAGGGAAGTCCGGGTAAATACACCTCGGCTCCCATGGTCTGGGCTTCAAGGGACCAGCCGTGGCCAATGAAGTGGGCGCCAGTCCTCGCACGATGGCCTCCAATTTCAAGGCCTGGCCGACGCGTACCATCTCGACAGCGCGCGTCTCCTCGCGACGTCGACCTGGAGCCTCCACCACATCCGACAAAGCTCGTCGGTTTAACATGCTCTGCGAAAATTCGTTCGGTTTTCTTTTCTAGGAGGGAGAGGGGCTACAGCCAATACACGGACGAACCTTTGCTTCTCGCTATCAGTTCGCTTCTGTTCTCGCAGTTCGCAACGCAGGTGGATGCATTTTCAAACGGAAAAACCTACACTACTGTGCATAAGTATATACAGTTAGTAGATGACTTGACGTTTAACCTTTTAGTCATGGTGAGATTAGCCGCGAAGCTGTACCTGTGTACGGCAAGATTTGACGCGATCTGCGTATTATAAATGTAGCACTGCGATTTGAGACTGATAGAATATTCCATTGGGCAATTACGTTCGATTACACTATAATGTGCACAGGTATCGATGACAGAGAAAGAATTGTACTGTTAAAGTGACATACTATTCGAAAAGTTGATATATACTAAAGCCAGTAAATATAAATAATTATAGCTAAAAGACTAAGCCGAGGAATTCAATTAAATTAATCAGTCTTCATTTTTTCTCAGCTAATTTTTTGTTGGTTTTATTTCCCAATTTCTGATACTTCCGATTACTAATTTGCTAGTCGGTAATACGGCTATGTGTAACCAATTAAAATGATGAAACTAGAGAGACATCTCGTGCCCCTATGCCATTTCACAAGACAAATCATCTCCCAACTGTAAGTATCTAAAGGTGTGTCATCTTCCTAGATGAGATAATCAGTCGCTTCAATCGAAACAAAAAATTCTTTATAATTTTCAAAATATTCATTTTCTACTCATGATTATTACAATTTTTTCATGTATTTGGCAAATATTATTTACTCTTGATATCATGAAACTATTTCTTCTTAATATTCTGTATATCAGGGCAGTTCGATTCAAGGTCGTTGCTCAATTAACAGCATAACACCAATCGGGTATCGAACCATCATCGACATATACACAATCGTCTATTCAATAGTACAGTATATAGTAGCGCAACAACATTCAGCTGTTAACGCGTTGAGTACATATGAGACTACTCAAGTATCAGCTATTTTATACAAATTTGGTTGAAATCCACTATTAAAGAAATTATCTGTAGTAGCAGATAAAGAGGAAGATAATAAAAAAAGTTAAAAATGTATTCTGTACATAGAAGTTTGAAATTAACACATTCGAGATGGATGGGAAATAAGTGTCGGTTTGGAAACTACATTGTCATCTTAAAAAGTATATAGTATCGTTTTTGAAGGTACATTATCATCTCACAAATTGCAGTATTATCTTGGAAAGTGCAGCATAACTTTGAAAAAGTATGGTGAAATATATAGTATCATTTTGAAAAGTAGAGCATCATCTCAGAAACTGCATTATCACCTTGGAAACTGCAGTACTACCTTGAAAAACTATGGTAAAGTATATAGTGCCGCTTTGAAAAGTACAGTATCACTTGGAAACTTTAATATCATCTCGGAAACTACGGCATTACTTAGAAATTGGAGAATCATCTTGAAAAACTGCAGTACTGTCTTAGGATTGTCTTAAGAACTACACATGAGAATTATAATAAAAATTAGGATTCTCTCATCTTAGGAACAACAGTTCTCATCCATTTCGAATATGTTAAATTAATCACAGGTAATACATTCCAGTTGTTATCGAATCGACAAAGAAGAGTAGCAATACTGTGCTGATGTCATTAGATGAAAGCACATCTATTAAAATACATGTAAATAATGTGAATATACGTCAATCCTGGTTTGACGTCGAATCGGCGTTATACTGTTAGAATGACGACGATCTTAAAGGCTGTCGCATACTTATCACAACACCATCAGACCAATTACGTGTTCAGGTATCCTCCCATTGGTACAGTTCACCATTTATTACAGTTTAATACTTTATGTATTGACATCAATAGAATATGAGTGCCACACCAGCACTATATTTGATTAGCACAGATTCATGGCATTGTCCATAAAAAATAGCAGATAAATCGGAGTGTTAACACTAAAACTACTCAGTAGTTAGAGTAATTTATTTTCAATTTTTTATAAAAATTAGAACAATAGGTTTCTTGAGATTCGAAGATCTCCTAGTTTTGTATCTGTATAGATTCACAAATTTAATTAAAAATATTCTGTAAAAACACCTTCATAATTTAAGTACTTGCAAAATAAAAATTCTCAACTGAGTTAATTTGACACGTCCGGTAGGTTCAGTGTTAATATTGAAGAGTTGGCTGTAATAATACTACTGTTTCACGAAGATGAAAATAATAACAGAAAGAAAAGATATAAAATATTAGGAAATTAGCCCCTTATCGTATAATGACGAGAGAGACTCGTAGTACAGATTTCTCGATCAATTTAATGAATATCAATGTTCCTTATTATATATGGACCGAAATGAAAGATTGTTTCATTGTCATGAATGCTTTACTTTTAAACTGAAAGTATACTTTCAACGAGAACAAAACTTCTTTGCGTTCTTGCAGAGAGTTAATAGTAAAATATATCTAAGCATAATCGCGAAGAAAATCCTACGCCAAGGAATAGGTAGTAATATCATCACATTTGAACTACATATACATATACTGATGCAACGCATTGACATTTGTCTGTGGCCGTTCATGCGTGGTGCTATTAAAGTGGCTAACAGCCAGGAATTGAAGAGATTCCGAAAGTAACTATTAGAAAGTTTCATACATATACAAGAGTACCCACTTCATTATTTGATTTTATCACGCAAAACGAGAGATTTTTGAAAATAAATTCCACGATTAACAGGTTAATATTATAAATTAGCTGTGCGCCACAGGTGCCACATGCCGGCGTGAACGTGTTCAACCCCTGGTGGCAGGCTTTATCCGTTCAAACTTACGTTGCTCTTGCTCTCTTGCGTGTGTTCTTGGTACATGTCTCTCAGCAATGCGTCCAGCGTTCTCTCTCTCTTCCGCGAGAACGTGGGTGTGTTGAAGGTGGCCTTCTCGCCGTTGATCAGCTTCACGAGCAAGAATTCTCTCAGGGTGAAAGGGTCCTCGAAAACAGGAGGACAGGGCAGGCTGGGTCCAAACAAAGGGACGCTCTCGTCGCAATAGATAGCCACGCGCCAGCCTTTGCCGTTCTCCTCGGCGGACACGACCGCAAACACGTCTGCGTCAAAAGATAGAGCTCAACCTTCGTTGGCCTTGAGTTCCGCAAGGATAGACGACTTACGCGTAAATTGGCTCCTGATGCAGTTTGGGTTGAACGTGTCTATGGCGTCGGGGTCGTCTGTGTAAACAATATTAACGATATCGTTGCCGATGTGCCGCTTCCGCTCCAGCTGCTGTGGGTTGTCCTTTGAGTAAGGGAGCATCGTGCTCACGTGATACATCACTTCGTGGCCCGCGTACACCGTGTAGTAACTTTCTTTGCCAGTCATGTCACCTGGAAGTTTTTGCTGTGTGTTATGAAAGACGAGCAAGATTGATGCAACACTCTGACCGCTGTGCTATCTATCTTCGGCTGGAACCATGTTTGACGTACATTTGAATATTAACATTCATGTTTATGGCTACGGGTTAGACTGGATGAAATGACAGATTAATAATTGGTTAAGGAAATTAAGATTATAATCATTCATGACAATAATGTCACCGATGATCAGTATAATTTAAAATACGAATTAGTTTCTTTTTTAATATTTCTTAAAATAAAAACGATAGAAAGACGTTCTTTTTCTATCATGAGCTAGTTGGCAGTTGAGCGAGCGGTGCTCGTTTATTTTTAACTGATCTCGTTCATCATTTTTAACTGATCTAATGTATTTAATAAAACAATTGACTTGTTATGTTCATTAAATCGTTATTTTAAATACGAAATTTAATTTTTTGAATTGATTCTTTCCAAATCTTTATAAAGTTCTGACAGTTAAATTGTAGAAAGCAAATTCTACTTTTCCTTAGAATAAAAAAGTAAATAAGTATTTGTAAAAGTAGAGTTTACGATTTTATTTGACTAGTCAAGTAGTGGGTTAATAATGGGTTATTAAAGTTCTAAACGATTACCGATCAGTTGAAGATTTTGACTTTAATTTTAGTTCCTAATTACAAAATCGACCAGAACAAATTTTTAATATACTAATTACCAATTTAAGAATGGTTTTAACCATTTATCATCGCTACTAATTTCTTTCAATTGTATGTTCATTGTTAATTGGTGTTCAATTATGTATTTAATTTTCAAGTATTTATTTGCAAAAGTTCATAGAATTATATATTACAATTTAAGGAAGATTAAACAGTATAAGAAAAGAAAACTTTAAAATAAAAAAGATTTAATAAATTATTTTAAGATATTCGCGATTCTTAAGAGTTGTTGAACTTGGGAAAGTTACAGAAATTTGTCTGTATCTATCGGATGCCTCTTCTGTTTTGACGACAGTTTGGAATACTATCCACATGCCAACTATTAATACGATCATTCTCATTGCTTAAATTGAATTTCAAATTATTCTCCAAAACAGATAAAAAACGGTTACATTGAAAATAATTCTGATTAAAACATTATTAAGAATTGCCTAGACAAAGACATACTTGGTCTTAATTATCTCCGAATAATCCTGGTGTGCAACAACATGTAGAGAATACTTTTATAAAAGTAAAGCAAAATATTGGACTATTTCATAGCATGAAATCTTTTCTGTTGCTTCTGTCATGGTTGATAGATCTCTCGTTCCGAGGAGCATTTGACTATGTCGGGTATAAAAACTCCAAAACAAGGGGGTGGATAGTTTCGCACGAAGGGGAAAGGAATACTGTATCATAGAAAATACACGACACCTTTCACGTCCAGGCCACCTCTGTATTTGTCCCAGTTCTTCAACCATATTCTCTCGCCCAGAATCTCCAGGAAGTTCTCGAACTCCGGGCTGCCCTCCTCTATAAACGAGACGATGTGTAGGGAGCCAATAGCTGACCTATTTAGTCGTTAAAGTTACGCTTCTAATCAATTTACCATTAGACAGCATCTCATCGTCGGTAGTTTGCCCTTTTTTCGCGTATATCACGCCGAACTTGAAGTTCACCGAGCCCTCTTGCTCTTCCAACAGGAGCAGGTCCTGTGACGCGAAACTTAGTTTATATACTCATCCAGTCGGATTTTTACGTTGACTAAGGAGAGCAAGGGAACTCACCTTTTGTATCTCTGGTGAGAATATTTCGCGCGGCACTTTATCGAGCTTGTCCAGTCCAAAGAAGTTGCTGAAATTTGAATTAACACTTAGGCAACCGCCTAATAAAGATTGTAACTATAACCTTTTCCATTAACTTTAACACTAAAACTATCAAGCAATTAGAGTGACTTAAATCCAATTTTTTATAAAAATTAGAACAATAGGTTTCTTGAGATTCGAAGGGTTTCCTAGTCTTGAATCTGTGCAAATATACAAATTTAATTGAAAATCTTTTACAGAAACACTTAAATAATAGTAGAAAGAAAAGGAGATATAAAATATCGAGAAATTAATCCCTTGCCATATAATGACGAGATAGACTCGTGGTATAGATTTCTTGATCGATTTAAAGACAATCAATGTTTCTATATTATGATCTTTCGCCGTACAGAATAACAATTTGGTTAAAAAGTGAATTGTTCACATTAATGAACAGGTTTTAGTCAAGTATAATTTAAAATGTAAGATAAATATACAGTTTTAATCGTAAGTATTTCAGGTTTTTAAAAGAATTAATTATATTGTGACTTTCGAAAGTTCCGACAGTGAAGTTATTTTCGTGTATGCACGTTGACGAAAGGGCTCAGTGTCAAACATTTTTTAATGTTCTAGTTGTATGAAATATTTTAATGAAATCGCTGATTATCATTTCGAAATGTATCCTCGTTAGATGACATTGTTTAGATAACTATTTGCGAGATTAAATCGTCTTTAAATAATTGAGATTCTATTGTGCTTAATAAATCTGTGTTACAAGCTGTTTCTTATCGACATATACCTTTCTTCTTGTACATGAATAGGATGAAGTACCTTTGATTACCTTAATTATCTCTGCTGGGTCCTCAATTTATCTATACATTTGAAATGTTATTAACTCTTCGTGACCAAGAACACTTTCTTTGTTAATGAAATTTTATTATTCTTTCAATGTAGAAACAAATGTTATAATGGAAAATGTTTTAATAACAATTGAAAGTTATAATTAGAAATGTTTAAATTAAAAAAAAGTTTTAATATTGATATTTTGATACTTTTTAAAATATTGACTTATTAATAACAAAAAATTAACTAAATTATCTTTGTAAATCTCTGTAAAGTATAGTATATCTCTATTTCTCCAAGTAGTATGTTATTCTATTTTGTTCCTGGTAGAATAACGGATGTTTCAATGATTTCAATAACTTCTAATGCAAGGTCATCTGTAGTTAAATAAAGGAGTAAAACAACGGTTCTTACATCACAAGAGGGCTTCAGTAGTTCAACGATTGCAGTATTGCGTCAATGGAAGCGGACACCACTTCAAGCAGTTCTTATGGCATCGAAATTAATGTTTTACTCTTGTATTTAATGTCGAACGATCTTGTAAGATAGATTGTTGAAATCATCTGAAAGTCCAATATTCTACACTTTATAAGAGATGAAAATGAGAATTCTTGAAAAAGTAAATTGATCTTAAGATTTCTGACAATCTTTTGTTAACAATAAAAGTGATCTTAAAATCTCCTTTTTTCCCGTTGACAGTATACGACATCTTTTCATATACACATATTTTTATTTTCTATTGTATTTAAATTAATTTGTTATAAAGCATAATATTGCATCGACGTTAGATTATTGGATTATTATGATAATGATATTAATATTTACCTGAGTATTTGTCTAATCGTCATCGTTTTGTTCGCAGAGTATGGTAGCGATATTTTCTGAGCGCCCTAAAATTTATTATTTCATCCATTATTAAATTCTATGAAGCTTGATAGTAATATTTTTTTAGTTTTTAATATTTTGCTTACGGTTTTTCTCCATAAAATGACTCTGTAATGTGGGACGCTTTGATCGCTGACTTCGCTCGTTACAACCGACAGAAACAAAGGATTCCTTTCTTGATCGACAGCAATGTAATTCTGATGCACTGAGAATACATAACAAAGTGATTAGTAACGATAGTTTTTCTGACCAAGGATATTTTCTGTTGTTGCAAAATTATACAAACGTATGCCGTAATAAGTGAAATTATTCAAGTGAACGCGACTCGACGTGTAAAAACAAATTGAAAAGTATATAATAAAAATGTATATATTTCTGATCATATCTCTTTCTAGTAAATAGTATCTTCTCTAGTAAAGAGAAAACAAAATTATTTTTTATAGTAGGAAGTTTACTCGATTTCAACGTGAAAACTATTTAATATTAGTATGTTACTGTTATATTTACAATAAAACTATTATGCTGCTGTTTTCATCTTACTATGTTTTTGAGTACTGAAATTTGCAACAAATATTTACAGTTTATATTTGATAGAATGTCAAATCATTATATTAATTTAATAATATCATATTATCGTTACCACACATGGAGTTCCAAAAAAGGATTATTCAGTTTTAAGCTTTTCAACTTGTTTCTGTACGTGAAGTCATCTTCTCCTCGCATCGCTTACTACGATGCGCTCTATACGTATACCCGATTCGAAGGGGAGATATTGAATAAAAAGAGGAACAGCTGACTCATCAGTCTCGCTATCTAATGTGATACTTATCTAAAATTTTTTAAATCACAGAGAGACACTTTACTTACATTTTCCGAGGAAGTACTTGAAATACCAGCGCGTTTGGTATTCGGGATTTTCCAATATCGGCGTACTGGGTGAGCCGAACATCTGCATAATCATATAATCTGGCTTTATCAATAACGAAATGCAGAGAAAGAAAAAAGAAAACTAGTTTAAAGCAAATGAAAAATACTTTTGATTGATTGGCTCTTGTGATATGTGTCAAGCTTTTCATTCAGATATTTTTAATATTTCCAATATTAATTACAGAAATGTTTGCATGTTTTTATTAATCTTAAACAGAATTCAGAGCAAATAGAAGCGATCCAACGCGATCTGTCCGGTCAGAAACAAGATAGGTGTAACTATAAATGTTAATGGTCGTATGCTAACGTAATATCTAACTGTTGGGAATGTTAAATAAATAAAACAGACACAAAAGTTGTTGGAAGCATATCAAATAACACAACATAAGGGTATACGCTAACAAAAATAGTCTAAAGTAACAAAGAATCAAAAACAGATTTCACGTACGTTTATAGCGACTTCAAAAAACGTAATAGAACAAAAATAATAAAACTTCCGTATTACTTTCAACACATCCAATCCTTTACGAGAAAAAGCTTCCTTCCGATATTTCCCAATTAAACTGATACAGTAAACTGTAAAACCGTCTAAAGATCCGCAGTCCGGTTACGAAAGAACTTCTCGTAGCAATAATTATATTCAAATCGTCGAAAACCGCTAATGGAATTACGCGAGAACCAAGGGTGTCGGTCTCGAACTTTCAGTGAAGCGACGTTAGGAAATTTTACATGATCTCTATAGCCGTGAACCGTGTTTCTCCGAGAAGTCCGTGGGGAAGATGGCCGACGGACAGACGGGCGACCCGCAAAGAGACGTAATTACTACGCTGTTCTTACTTCTTCCTTTTCGCCGGGAGAATCGCCGTTCTCGACCCGAAATCTTCTGCCATTGTCGGAGCCGTCTTGCTCGATCTGCGGCAGCTAAAAGGCGATATCAAAGGGCCACATTAGAAACTGTGCGAAGCGCGTCTAACAAGAGATCGTGTTCCAGTTTCGGAGTGGCTCCGTTACGCGTCGAGAGCCGGAAAAACGGACAGCGCGCTGCGACCCGTTTTCCTCGCTCTTCTGTAATTAACTTTTATTGTGCCGCAGCCTGTCTCCCTCTTTATCCGCGTGCACGTTACAATTTGTTCGAACTTGGTTTCTTGCGAACGGAAACAATCGAGCACCTCGCGCTGTCGCGCTGCTACCCCCGCTAAAAGCAGTTGTTGAACGTTCTATTATTCGCTTTTCACGTTAGTTCTATCGGCTGTAGACTTAACCTTTTAGCTACTATGCGCCACTATAGTGGCTGTCGTGTATATCATCTTTTTGAATGGTACGCTACTATAGCGGCACAATTCTTTCTTTGCCATCAATAGCTGTGCACATTATAGTCTAACCGAACGTAATTGCACAGTGGAAACTTCTATCAGTCTCAAATCGTAGTGCTACATTTATGATATGCAGACCGTGTCAAACGTTGCCGTACAGAAGTATAGCTTTGCAGCCAATCCCGCCGTAGCTAAAAAGTTAAAAGTGCACTGTGCACTTTTAGTTTGGTGGTTGATAAAACTAACGTGAGAGGCGAACAATATGTTGCTACATCCTACGCCACTAAAGACCCTATACATTCATAATAACTATTATTTGTATTATTATTACTATTACTATTATCATTACTATTATTATTGATATCACATTCATCATGACATTGTATCATGCTTGTGTCTATTTGAAAACATGTTCATCGTCAGCCCTGTATAAAAACAACAATTACGTATACCGAAATGCTCCGTTAGTATTCTAACTGCGTGTACTTGTAAACCTAACCACTCTGTAAACATCTTGTACATCTGACGAAGTCTAAACATAACTGGCAGTCCGACGTCCAGATTCTAAAGGCCCGCATATACGCTGAAATATGCGGCGATAGAGGCATCGCGGCAAGCGATGGATTTGTCTTTTTCAGTTTTTATTTGAGTGCGACATGTATCATGAAACTTTGAAAGACTCAAACCCATCACTCGTAGCAATGCTTGTATCACTGCAAGTTTCACTTAATGGGTTTCTTAGTTGCAATCTCATAAAGTTTGCAAATTTCCCTCTGACCTTGAAAAATGGGTTACAGTTTGTTATTGCAACATTCTATTCTATTAGTCGTAGAGACAAATTTCTCAAAGGAACCATGGGTCGGAAATTAATAGTTTTCTTGTAAATTGCTGCTAAATTTCGCTTAGGAGTGTAAAGGAACGCGATATCGATTGTTGACTGAATACGATGGCGCAATCAGAAATTTTAATCCCTCTTTTTAAGGTGAAAGGAAATTTTATAATAACTTCTTTATCTCAATCCTGAAACCAAGTGTGTAGAATCACGTCGTATAATATTGAAGACCAAACATTACTTTCTACCCTGTACAAATTTCCCCTTTCCGCTCGAAAGCTTTGGACCTCTTATCAGACCAAAAATAAAGTCGAACTTTTTAATGAAAAAAGTTGAAACGAAAGTTATACGAATTTGCTGTTGGTAATGAAATGTCTTTTGTTTTTTTTTCTAATGGGAAGTATTTGTTTGTAAAAAAAAAGTTGGAGAACTGAAGTTCGTGAGCTGGAACATCTGATCGATAGGTTAAACTGATACGAAACATGTTTTAAGGTCTGTGTAATTGCTTTATTGTATTCTGATATTTGTTAATTGATAGTTTCTCGTTGAATTCTTATGACTTTTCAGGCTCGTGTCAGTTTCTGAAGTAGTTTAACGAAAGGGTCATGAAGAGTTATGTAGAAAACGTAGGGAATGTAGGGAAGGTAGAGAAGATGTGAAGAACGTAGCGCTGAAGATGTAAAAAACAAAGATTTTTCCTTCCAGGCGTTATAAAAGTGAGAAACTATAGTTGTATCTATTCCAAATTGAAATATTCAGCATAACATCGAGGCAACAACTGACATAACTATCTTAAGCGTTAAATATAATTTTATTTTACTTATTTATTTTTAAGAATGGAATTTAAGAGATTATATATACCTACATAGGTAGCCAGCCAAAGAACCGATTTTACAAAAAAATATTAATTTTATATAAACCTTTGAACACGTTTATCTCGAAAAAGTATTCACTAATTATTCGATTAATGAATTAATTTACTGCCTATGAATGTTATATTTATTTAGTATTCTTATGGTACTGTTTTTGATCCGTAGTAGATTTTTTAGACATTAAAGATACGATATTTTTTTAAGTCAACCATAACTAGTATTCATTTTATTTATAAAAATATATACTTAAAGGATTGTTTTTGTGTTTCACAAATAAATGTGGACGAATTAGCTTAAAAGTGAAAAACTAAAGATAATGTATTCATGAAATACAATATATAATTGAACATGCAGAAGATGATATTAATATTAAGTTTACATTATTTAGTACTATACAATTTTAAAGGAGATTTAAAATAACGATTAAAAGATTACAAACAAAATCAAGGAAAGGATAGAAATGAGAAAAATAGAAAATATGGAAAGAAGAAATTTAAGAAAGATTCGTTAAAAAAGACGAATATGAAACTAATAAAAACAGAATCCTAATGATTTACGTTACGCTTACAGCGGATGTATCTACTCGTATGTCTTACCAAAAGAATTTAGAAAGAAATATTTCAAGCATCGTAAATTCAAGCATGTCGCAATAGAATGTAATGGGGAAGCAGACGATAAGTCCTCAGCTGTTCAAATACATCCAAACATTACTTGTATGTCAGAACTCTTTAACCGGAAAAGGTACAAAACATGTTCAATAATTGTAATATCATTTTGGGTGTCTACTAGTTTCTGATGGTATGTCATTTAATGCCATAAAGCTCTAATAGACACCCGAAATGATATAACAATTATAAAGGAGCAATTTACAAAACTTTATGCATGTTAATTTCTATTTTATTAGTATTTGAAATAATTTAATGTTTATCAAATAAATTATTTTTTTTAGATGGAAAAAATTCATTTTATTCATAATAGAATAAAATTTTAAAAACTATTCGTGTGTGTTCATATTTTCAAATTTCGAATTTCAGTTTGAGTAAAGTGTTCAACTCTGATTAATATGACTTTTATTCATTTCACTTTAATTGTTAATTACTTAATTTTTACATTACTAAATTTATTTTTCGTTCATAAATATTTAATTCTTATGGTAAATTTATATCTACAATAAATTCTTGTTTCTTCTAAGAGATTAATAATGCTAAAGTAGCTCTTGCGAGATTAATCAGAAGAAAAGCTACAATAGAAGCTATTAAAATGAAGGTGCTTCAATCGTATGTATCGGATAAATGTAAGTCAACTAATACAGAAATGTATACAATAGTTAAAAATAAAAAATCAATTAGTCAGAATCCGTGTACACACTAGCTCCACAGGGAGAAATTATTCGTATAGCACTAAAAGTACGGCTGAAGGATGGAATTGTAGAATAACGTGCATCTGAGTATAAAATATCTTTCGTTAGTAAGAAACATGACGAAAGTCCTTGAGTTTGCACAAATTACCATGCATTGAAAGATAATTCTTTGTCATCAAAGATATTCATTGTCATCAACTGAAAAATTATTATATATATTACAAAGTTCTTGTCTTTAATTTCGTGTATTTAAAAAATAGCCTTCTCCGCGAGAGAAGCGAAAATAACAATAAAAGGTGTACTCCATTTGTCATGTAAGAAGAACAATACCAATTTTTAGATATTCCATTTGGCTTTTTACCAGTTTATAGATTACGGTTTTCGAGTCTTTAATTTATTAATTAAACATTTGAGGCAACGAATACGCATAAAACGAAATAGAAATATTTAAAAAACGTACAAAACTTTCTTCTTTTCTCTCTATATTTTGAATTTTAATGTTTACATTGTATTGCATGCATTGAACCAAGTTGAACAAATATGTGTCAAATATGTTTCGATGCTACCAGAACATATAAAGTAACTTTGTTGCTTAAAGTGTGTCAGAATTTACCTAGGAACGTTCGTGGACAAATATTAATGGCAGGACCGTATTGTCAAAGTTAAATTAAATGAAAAATATACCACGGAAAAAGTTAGTTTACATGAAGGCTCAAAAGTAACGTTAACTTCCACCGAATATATTAAACTTTAAACAGCCAACTCATATTCATCTATGTAGTGTGAATGAACAGCTGGATGGAGAAATGCAGGAAAATATTGGCAATGAAAAAATAGAGGAAGTGAAGTTTTAATTGGCACGATTGCCGTGAAACAGAATGTGTTAAAGAAAGAGGAAAAAGAAATTATTGACAAATGTTATATCTGCAATGAAATTACTACGGACATCTAAAAATATATATATATATGTATTAATAATATACATATTTTCAATAATTATTTGTTTTGAGATATGCGTAGTAATTTCATTGCAGATATAACATTTATCAATATTTATTTTTCCTGTCGAATTTTAACCAAAAAATTCCGTGTATTCTTATGGAATGGATATAAAATGTTTTTTAAAACGATTAACATCATAAAAAATGGCAGATTCCTGCGCAACAATGTGTGTCAGAGTAAAATTTGTATGAATATTAAGTGGAACAGAATGTTTCTGAATGGAACCGACTAACTTTTCAAGTACGTTTCGCGCGATATTCTTAGCGAACAAAAGAATAATAAAATATCGTAGCTGCATTCTTACAAGTAACAGTTTCTTCAAGCTTTTATGTGCTTTTTTATTTCCCTGCAACTTTATTGTTATGCTTTTATCTACATTTTTTACCTTGTGTTCAAATGTACCTAAATTGTTTACTGAAGAATTGTGACATAGGTATTTAATTATGTTTAGAACTTTCAATGTTTTGTTTTCGAAGATATTACTTTATCGTAATTTATTTAATTACTAAAAAGTTTATTATATACCACGAACTTATATATATTTGTATAACACTATAAACATTGAAATATATTCAAAAAGTCTGTAAAATGACTGAGATATCCATTATATTCCGATTTTCTGCATATTTTTCGTGTATATTGAAAATGAGGCGTCTGAGATAAAATCTGAGTTCACCATGCAATACAGTAGAGCGTTCTGTATGGAAACCATCAAAGCACACTAAAGCACGTTTTAGATTTTGTTTTCGATCAAGAAAGGAAAACAGTTTCAAGGAACACGAGGTATAGCCAGTGGTTCTCAACTCGAGTCAGAGACTGTGTTACGTTTCCTTTACCTAAATAATAATAGTAGTTGTTTCATGCATGTATTGTAGTTAATACTTTACCGATTGATCACAATCAAGTTTGCCACTTATAAATACGTTGAATTCCATAGGGACCAGCGGTGACCCTCAACCAAATTGAATTATTGAATGCTGCTTAGTACAGTTTACAAGTAATACAGTTTATACCAAAATAACATTTGTCCATAACTTTAATATCTCAATAAAAATTAAATTGTCTTGCAATGAATGAAACGTATGTAGATATCAGTGACAGCTTACTTTTTAAAATGACAATAACGCATTATTATTTTTTAATTTATATTTTTGTGGAAAAATAATTTGAAAACGATAAATGCAAGAAGGAAACGTTAAGCAATCGTTGAGGAACACTGGCAATACTTCTGATTTTGCAGAACCAATTTATTTTCTCTACGGAAAACAAAGTAAATACACGTACAGTTTTCTTTGACGGATTCTGTAGGGAAACGGTCTATTGTAACGTGTGATGTAGTTAGATTTCATCTCAAATTCTTATTTTTCCAAAAAATCTGTTAAATATCCGAAAAAATTGACGAGTGAAATATATTTCAGTGTTTATAATATTATAAAAATACACATCATTTTATTTGGGAAAGCTTAAAAACAAATTTTTGTACGAAATGTTCGTACAACTTTTATAGCGAAGGTAAATACTTAAATTTGAAAATTGTAGTTCTCTTTCAAACTTAATACGTTCACGACCACAGTAGAATTTGTGATATTTTGATGTATCCAAAGAGACAATGGGGTATACGATATACCAAATATATATTAATATCATCATAGTAAACGGTAATCACACGTCACACGTCACACATGTGACGCTTGGTCGCGAACGTGTTAAATTGATCAAAAACGGATTAAACGTGCTGTGAACGTCAGCATTTCAGCCGTTTATGTACAAATCGATTAAGCCTGTGAAAAAGGAAGCAGATAAACTAGTGAAGTAAATCATATGTCTTCGTCTCCTCAACCTTTGATTCGAATCGTTGGATAAATTGTAGCATGATCATAAACAATAATACGACATAATCGATAAAAACAACGGGGCACTGTTTCCCCTCGGCTTATGCTCATCGCGTTAAGTTATGGAGCTTTTCAAATAAATTTGGCATCATTCCGCACTCAAAAATGTTTCTGTCGTTTCGCGGCGTTAAAACAATTATTAAACAAATTTATTTCATACAAAAAGATAAGCATAAATCAAGTACTTTGTCGGAGAATATTCATATTTCATCGAATGAAAAAGGCTAAAGAATGCATGAATTGAATTACAGAATTTTATCAACGTTTCTGTTGTACATAAACTGCTGGATATTATTTTCCTTTGTCACGTATACTTTGTTTGCAAACTTATATATTTTTGTAATTTTAACTTAAAATTATTTTGCAAGCTTAGTTGAAAATTCTGAAATGACTTTTCGATTGATCTTCAAAATTCAATTGAGGAAAAATGATTAAACCGAAAAAATACTTTTAAATTAAAATTTCAAAAAGGTGCCTATTGTCACCTTTGGTAAAAATAGTGTTAATACTAAAATTGTTCGACAGGTCAGATTTGTGTATTTATACAGATACAGAACTAAGATACCTATCGAATCTTAAAAAACGTATTGCCCTAATTTGTATAAGAAAACTGAAAATAAGTCATCTTAATCGCACAGTGGTTTCAGTGTTAAAAATAACAGTGACAATAGTGATAATGATAATAATAATAATAAAATATTAATAATATATCACAAGTTTAAATAAATACTAACCCAGATCTAACCGAAATTACTGACCAGCTCGACCATCAGTTACGAAACAAAGTACCGTGATAGATTTGAGTCTTCTGAGATTTCATGATACATGTTCAACGCCATCGAAGAATGAAGAGATTCAACCATTAAGGGTCTATGCACACGACCGGCGCGATCCTTCTGTTGTGCTGCAGTGGTGACGCTGTGCGATTTAAGAAGAACAAAGACATAAAGTTCTCTTATCCCTTTTTTTGTGAGACAGAAGAACTTTGTTTCTCTGTTACTTGAAAACGATCGCTGCGGTACCGCAGCGGAATCGCGTCGCTTGTGTGCGTAGGTTCTAATAGCGATACATCCATCGACGCAAGTTTCAAAGTGTACAGGCACCTTTACATTTCGTGATACGGATTTTTCTTTGGAGCTACTCCGAATTTTCCAAGGTAGTTACCAAAGGCCTCACCATTTCCACGCTGCCATAGTACCGCCTGGAGAGGACACCCCGCCTGGAGATCGCGTCTGTGGTGGACCTGTAACATGGCAGAAGTCCGTGGATTGGTTACCGAGCTACTCTTGAATTTCACGCCGCGTTTCATACTGACAAAGGCAACCACGTTGAAGAAAAAGAGAAAAGCACACAGCCCTTCGTTCCGGTATCCCCGAATATTTCTTGCCCCTTTCGCTACCGGGTATCTAGGTTAATGAGACCAGTCTGCCCCGAGTATGACCCTGGATCGCATCAATTAACCCGTTGCTTAGCTAAATTCAAGAGATGCTCTATCGAAACTTTGATAAAAATCTCAGTCTTCGAGCATTCTATTCTTGTATCAAATTACTTCAGATAATTTGATAGAAGACTGTGTCAATTTCGTCGTACCATATTTTACTGAGAAGTATAGTGTATAATCCACAGATAACCGCGTCAGGTTTAACTTACAAGAGTTGAAGATTTTTTTTCCGTTTGCTAAGAAAAATTGGTATAATAGAATTTATAATACAATAATTTGATACAATTTATTGGGAAAATTGTAATCCGGTTAATGGACACTAAAAATTCAAACAAATTGCAATTAAATGAAATTCTATTTCCTTCGTGAATGGTTTCAGTAAAATGAAAATAAAATGGGGCTACGTTTCATTCGACAGAACCTTTCATTCTGTAAAACTGTAATTGCCATAATTTGGACTGTTGATTAATCAGATAGTATGTTCCCCAAATCTGGTGTGACATGTGGTTGAAAATAATAGAATTCTCCCTGGAGAATTTAGTATAACATCACACCCTTGATCAGCACGTATAAACTACGACAATTTACATGGTTATTAGCCGGAAAGTAATTTGCAGTTTGAAAGGACAATCTTTTAAAATGTTTCATTTAAAAAATACACCTCAGCAATTCGTAAGTCGACTGCCAAGTTTGGAGAGTACGGAGCAGTTGGAGATACAAAACGAGGAACTAAACCACGGTATATGAGGTCAGCTGAAAACAGTTACAGTGTAATTGCGAATTTAGAAAATTCCCTTTGAGTTGCAAATATGCAGCTTTTTCTTCCCAGATAAATTCTCTAAATTTTTATATCTTTATCCTGTAACGTACTGGTCGTCGTGTAGTACCATATCAAGACCCAGATTAAAAGTCTGCAGAAGTCCGGCTTACAGTACCTAGCATTATAGCCGCAGAAATATAGATCGAAGAACCACTCGAACTTACTAACTAGCACTTTTTCCAATAACAAGGCCAATAAGAGGAAATCAGACAACTGAGAAGGGCGCAGCTCTCGAATTCGTATAACAAATAATTTGTTGGTGAATAGCAAAACTAATTGTTATCGTTAGGTATAACAATTTACTTAGCATTGTGGTCACGATAGGTTGTGACATTTTTTCTGCTTTTTCTTATTGTAATAACCCTCGAGTTGTACACATATGATTGTAAAGAAGTGAAACGTACGAAGTATTTCCGATTTGGTAGTATACATGGGAAGGGTGTAATATGAAAAAATAAATTATATGTTTATAATAAAAATAACAATAATAATTAAAACAATGTGTAGGCGTCAATATAAGCAATATTCATATATTCGGAAATAATGCCACCTACGACAAAACGTCACTTTTCATTTTCAACCTTGTCCAGTCCAGAAATAGCAACATTCGAGTATAATAAATAGTATACGAAAACGAAGTCTTACGTGACAAAATTTATTCGTTTCTTTCCATTAATTTTTTTATGTGGAATTGTCTTCCTGTTGCTTGTACTGTGGAAGCATTATGTGTTAACCAATTTCTGGTCGAATTATTCTTCTTTTTGGTTAGACAACAATATAATCGACGTACTGTTTTCTTGCAGACGCACCAAGTTGACTTCACACGTATGTCACCATTCCATATTAAACTTATCAATCGATCCAGCGTAGAATTCTAAGTTTCTTTGTCGTTTTCAACTGCAGTTATGAAGTAGATACTACAGTTTCTAAAATGATGTTGTAGTTTCCAAATAAATATTATAGTTTTCAACTAAATGCCCCATTTTCTAAGCAGATACCATAGTTTCTAAAATCTTGTAGTTTCCAACTAAACGCTATATTTTTTAAGTAGATAGTATAGTCACTAAGTACCTAAACACTTTAATTCCCAAGTGATTACTATAATTCTCAATTAAGTGCTATAGTTCTCAAATAGATGCTACAGTTTCTGAATAAATACTATGGTTCCCAAATAATTACTATAATTCCTAATGAAATACTACTATTCTCGAGTAAATACTGTAATTCCCAAATAAATGCTACAATTTTCAGGTAGAGACTATAGCCTTAAGGCGACACTGTACTCCCGAAGCGGGAATTCTCTCTTCAGAATTACATTTTCCATCCGTCCCGGAAGTGTTAAAGTGTCGACTGTCTACCGTCGATATTCGACGTACTACTTCTATCTCATTTCCGCTCGCGCATCTATTCTCTTACTTTGTCAAACGGTGCTCGAGTTCCTGAAAGAAGAACGCAACCCTGCTTGCGAGAATGTTACTGCTGGCTTCGAAATTTTGCTAATTAACCCTCAAGACCCTGTCAGATCATTTTAGATTCATACTTTCGAGAATTCCGTTTTCCAATGAACGTAAATTCAAATGTAACAATTATCAATTTTCAAATTATACATAAATTACATATTATATCGACTTTTACTATATCATGCATGCAGTACTTAAAATAAATGCTTTTCATTAATATTTTATTTAATTTGCTCGTATCCCTTTGCTCTTTTATGTTCTTTCAAAAACATGTTAGAATTTAAAATGTAAATTATTATGAGCAAATGGATCACATATATGACAAGATAATGATAGAAGGATGGGTATACGGTCAAACATGATTCGTCACGGGATTCAGCAGGATTGCTGAACAATTTGAATTTCGGGAGTTAAAGCCAGGGATTAAAAATGTTCTGAAAGTAACTGTTTGAAACTGTAATATGGGATCTGATTGAAACAATTATCGAGAATCGAAATACAGTTATAACTGTTATTAGGTACATTGGTTCTGCATTTCGATTTTCTATATCAAGAAATTATAGAAATTGCAAGGAATTGTAACAGATATCAAGAAATTGTAGAAGTTTAAGAAATTATAAGGAATTTCTAGAATCTCGTCAGTATTTTAGAACATTGTATCGAAAGAAATGCAAAACCGAAAAATAACAGTTACAGAACCGATAGTACACCGGAAAAACTAAGATCGAAGTCAATACAGCTCAGAATCGACAAACAGAATCTAATAGCAGTTACGACTCTACTCCAGTTCCCCATAACTATTTTAACAATCGGAATCGATGTCATAATTGTTTTCAAATTCCTTTAATTTCCTGTCTTATAACCCTTTGCGGTAGAATGTCGCCATAAGGGCGACATCGAGCTTTGCCATCTAAAATCGAAAACTGCAAGTAAATCATTTAATTATTATTCTACTAACGAGAGACTGATATGTATTTCTTTTAGTATTTAAGACTTCGACGCATAATTCAGTCTTTTTGTGAAAAGAAATGTTAGAAATTTAAGACCGTCTTGTCGGCAAAGACCTAATAGAGAATTATCGACCGTTAGGAGATAATATCGTGTCAGATTCACGATGAAAATTCCAAACATAGCTTACCAAATGTAACGTAGGTTAAATAACAAAATGTAGGTTAGGTAGGTTAGGTAGGTTAGGTAGGTTAGGTAGGTTAGGTAGGTTTAGTAGGTAGGTGTAATAGGTAGGTTTAGTAGGTAGGTTAGGTAGGTTAGGTAGGTTAGGTAGGTACCTAAGGTCTTGGTTAGTACCTATGAGATTTAAATATTGCTAATCTTGTTAAGGATCATCAATCCCACCATCACTGCTTGCCAGTCAGAAAAATTATTAAAACGATTGTTACAAAATTGTTATCACGTATAGTATGATATGAATAAATGGAAAATTAAGAATTACAAAACACGGACATAAAAATAATAAAAGCTTCTTTTGTTTATAGCACATATACCAAAATTAATTTTGTTGGAGTCGATAAAAGGTTTCGAAAAGGTTTAGGGGATAGATGATCAAAAAAGGTTTGACGACCTCTGATGTAATCTAAAGTTGAGCAACATACACATGGTGACTGGCCCGTCGATGCAAATGCCTGAGCTGCGTGGATGGCAGCGCGGATACGCAAACCGATCTGGATCTGTTTCTGCGGATCATCTCGTGCGCGACCGGCAACGTTTCTTCTTCGCTATCGCTTTCCGTCACGGAGCCGTTCTGCCTTCTACCCTTGCTTCGTTTGCACTTCTCCAGGGAGGCCGCCGTCGATGAGGTCGAGGTCACCGACGAGGAAACCGGTGACGCGCTTGCAGACGAGCCGCTCGTCAACGACACTCCTCGCAACCGGGAGACCAGCTTTATGTCCAAGCACAACATCTTCCCGGTGTCACTGTCGCAAGGGTGTTTTCGCTGCCCCCGTCGCTCATTAACACATTAACCCCTTCACTCGACCCGGACTGACCGAGAAATGATCGACTTCAAATGGCGTAAGGCTACAGAGTGGTGTGAATGTTTATAGGAGGCTTGGCGACAAGGATGCAAACGCTTTTGGAAATACAGTAGGACCTCCTATAACGCGATTAATCTGTTAACTGTGGAATTAAGATTGAAAAATCTTGCATTTTGCACGCAATAAAATCAAAAAATGAAGTGTGTAAGGTAAAAGCACCAATAGTTAACCAGTTAAGAAAAATGTTCTGCGTGAAAAGTAAACATTTGCTCCTTTATTAAATAGGGAGACTCTATACGTGGAAATGCTGTTTGAACTTCTTACATTATGTAACAAAATGAACGTTTTTGAAATAGTTGTATTATCTAAATTGTATAGACATTTTTGAATATTCTTTAAAACGAGGAAACTAGTAATTGACCATATGTTAGTTAGCAGTTGACCACCGTGTTAACTTCCCTTTTCGGATACTGATCCAACTTCTTTCTCTGTTTCTATTACTTTCTTATGAAATCTCAATACATTTTTAAC